CCGGTAACTCATACACAGCAATTTCATCTATTTGCACCAACCAGCAACAAACTATCGTCAAGTACGAACGCAGCTGCAACTCAAGGTACACACAATGCTACCTGGGAGATTTTTAACGGGGCACATTCGGTAAACCATAATGCATTTTATTGCACATGGTTGCGACCACGCTCATAGTCGCAAATATCGCAGCGTTGGTTTGCGACCAAGCGACAACCCACTTGGTTTATGTTTCTGAAGCGAATAGGCCAACCATGACTACTTTTGGCTTCCCATGAGAGTAAGTAGCCTCATACTTACTCAGAGTTCATTGTGAATTGCAATAACTCCTTTGGAAAACACAGCAGTCCATTCGATCACGAAATGATCTACAGTCAAACCTGTCTAAGGCGGCCACTAAAGGGACCACACAAAGTAATCTCCTTAAACATGTTAATGCATAAGGACATTTACCCATATGAGCAGAGGTTGGAGATGTTTTTGGCTGGTCGCCACAGACAGGTGTTCCCTACAGCAGTTTGGACTGTACTTCTAAACACTGATTCTATCGTCAACAAAATGCACATACACCAGTCTTTCGATTACTTAATAACCTCATCTGATGCTGAGTACTGAAACCCGGTACAGTGACAAAACAGCAGATGCACTCTGTCAAATCGAATGATATAAAGTGGGTAGAAACAAAGCGTATGGTAGGTAGATGTGTGGGGGCTGCGTTATATTAGACAAGAAGGTCAAAAAGCTGACTGATCCACAACTGTTACCAGTAGATAACTCTGTCTGGACAAGCACATGCTATAATAATCTAGACCTCCTGGTGGACTGTCTATACTTCCCCACCATGTAATGATCTGGAAGTGACTAACCCTGAGGTCTTCCAGTGTGCAGTAAAACAATCCTCCGCAAGGTAGATGATTGCTGGGGACTTCAAGATGCCACCGATATCGTGAGCGTCATTGACCCACAAAAATACGCTGATTTTGGTTATGCGTCGATACGCAAGGTTGGACACAACGAGTTATCACCGACATAAGTGTGAATAACAGCTTGGATCTCATCTTTAGTCATAATTCCTCACATGCTGATGTATCAGCTATAGATAATTTCCCGGGCAATGACAATAATATTGATAAAAGCTGTGTTGATTCTACTTGGAGCCAAAGAACTTCATCCTTATTATACCCTCCTCAAGGCAGGCTGACTGGACTCAGCTGGGAGAATATTTCTCTAGAGTGATAACGTGGAAGAGTCCACAACAAAGCCGTTAACATTTATTGAAATGTGTGGATATATTCGCACGTTTCAGACAGAAACGCATCCAAGCAAACAGCACTACAAGCTACGCAAACATGAAGACAGATGTAACCTGAGTTCTCCATCATTAAGGGTATTAACAGTATTTTTCAACAGTCGCCGCATATAACAAAGTACGACATATAGACGAAGAGTGACTGGTGATTTCTACTTGCCGTGATACCTGCGCACGCACAACTGTTACAAAAACCACAGGCGTACCGACCAAATCCCTAGGTTAGTACAAAACAATTCCGTAAGCATTACCAATACATTTTCTATATGTGAAAAAGCCGGCATTAGCGGTACGCATGTACACAGTACCAAGGCTTCACTGTCACGCAACTAGCAGCAGCCGCGCGTTGGCCAAGGATACTGCGAGGGTCGCCCGGTTCCCTACGTAAGTCCGAACCCGTGACCTACGGATTACAAGGCAGGCGTGTGATCCTTTCGGCGGCAGGTCGAATATTTCTCTTCTTTGCTTATTAGCGATCCCCATCTTGCTCGTCAAGCCGACCAGTGGAAGGAATTGTAACTTTCGGAGATAACTAAAACGTCTATCCTAAAATCGGTTCGACGTTCAACTCGAATAACGCTAAATACTATTCCACAAATAGTGCTCACGCAAGGCGGTGAAGACGTTCCCATTCTTTCTAACAGGTTGAATCTTTCTCTAAAATATGCGCAATTTCCGACTCAGTGGAAGAATTATAGCAACATTCAGCTGCATAACAGGGGTTTAGGAGAAGTGAAGAACTACCGTCCCCTCAGTCACACTTGTATCATATCCAGTGGGTTCGAAAAAATAGTCCAAAATTCGTCAGTCTGGCTTATTCTGACGCACAGGCTAGTAAGCGACCAACAGCAAGGATGTATGAGTAATCGCTCATGTAACGTCTACAAACTAGTTTTCAGCGAATGCGTCACTTCGGCTGTAGATGCCAACAAGTTGGTACTCATGATATTCCTGGATATTACTAATGAGTAGTGAGGGTTTGGTATGATTAGAGATAGTTCATCAATATCCACTCGCAGTCAGCAGGCTTAAGCTAGTCTGGAATGGTAGCAGACACCGATGGTTCGACCTTCTGGGTGCCGTCGGTGGTGCGCCTTCCAGCGGACTCCCGCAGCGTTCCGCCCCATGACTTCCGGATGCCAGCAGCCGCTGCCAGTTCGCCATGGGTGACAGCCGCAGAGCTGTATGATTGACAGCTGACTGTGATATAGTCCGGTTCGTGGGGCTAGCTGCTGTCCTCTGCACAGTTCGTTATTGGCGCGGCAGTAGATGAGCCGGGCTATATCAGTCAACTGTCAACCATGCAGGTGCGCGGCTGTCACCCATGGCAAAGTGCCACTAGCTGCTAGCATCCGGGAGTCTTGAGGGCGAAACCCGGCAGGCGCACCACTGACGACACTCAGAAGGTCGAAACATCCAGATTTTCCTAAGCCCGTTGACTGAGAGTGGACAATGACGAACTACCACTAATTCCTGGATATGTACAAAGTATTCCACAGTGCAGCTCATAAGCTGTTCTTGTCAGAAATAAAAACATCCGGAATATGTGATCCACGGCTGGCTTAGTTTAGCTATTTCTCTGAGGAGCGCACACAAACCGTGTTGCATGATGGTCTACAGTCAAAGCCAAGTGCAATAACGATCGGAGTCCTTGATCCCACCGTGTTGCTCATCTACAGTAACGGTAGTTTCGATACAGTCCAATATAGGAAAACATTTCTTTTTTGCTGCTGATATGAAGATCGTCTACACATCTTCACCACAATAGTTGCAGGTAACTATGATAAGCATGCAAAGAGACCTAGATTCCCCTGAGATCTGGTCAAATGGATGGCTAATAAAATTTATCGCACAAAAGTCTCGAGTCCACTGTCGTAGGCAAGTTAACCCTAAACGGGGAGCCAAATCGTGTTTCTCAGTTCGTTCGAGACCTGAGAATATGCTACACTGAGTTACTATTCTCAGCGCATGCTCCACAACAACTACCAAGGTATAATCAAGAACAGTATTAAAGCTAAGCCACGTCGCTACTTGATTTGTATTCCCCCAATGATCTAGACACATGCGTTAGTGATTTGCCGTCACTGGAGTGTCTTCTGTGGTATTTTAATAAAAATCTTAAGGGTGAATCGTTGCTAGCAACATGCCCCGATAGACTTGAGAGGAACCTAGTATTTTTATAACTTGATAAATAATCTAAGCTTCAACTCAAATAATGCAGTTTAGCGAGGATGGCATCCACAACTTGAGATACAGAAAATACGTTCTTCCGCGACAAAGTTTGTATTGCAAATAAGTACAAACCTCCTCAGCGTACGCTACTCAAGTACATGAAATTGTGTTCTGCACTAAAAGCAGGTCAATGCAGTAGTCCCTGTGAAGGAAAACTCACAGATCACATGTGCAAGACACTGTTATTCCTAAAGTTAAAAAACGTGTTTACATAGTCATATTCTCCTGCTTGCATTTGAACACTGCACCCTACTTCCTTCTAGCAGTCACTCACCTTTCTGCTTCGTCGCGTTGAAAGATACTGCAAGCAATCACTCAGAAAACTCAGGCTTCACTTAGTGAACTACTGTTGTTTGTAATTGAGCAAAATCTTGCTTCTCACTCCTTATCCACCACTAGACGTTTTACTTCCTCGATTTGGAAAATACTCCTCGAGAATAAATATTTAGTACTCGTCCCAACACTACTTCATTGGTGGTTGCGAGGAATAGCAACCAGCTATCGGTCCTCTTTTACCATTAAATTGTTACATTAGTAACAATGTAATCCACTCATTTTTAGTACTGGCATACGTAGCATGTGCTCAGGCCAACGCAATTTATTCAGTGTTATCAGTTGTAGTACTCAGCTACGCACATCATCGTTGCAGACACACTGGTGCCATCCTAGACCAGCAATGCTTCACAGACAACGATGATCAAAGAATTGAAGGCGTTTCAGACCTGCAGCTGATTTCCTGATCTTTCGATAACGCGCAAGTGGATATCACTTTTGTACTTTCCACGCCTTTAAACCGTGTTCATTTCGGGCAGCAAGAGAGGAATTGCTGGTTAGAAACTAATGCCAAAGTATTTGATGATGTTAGTCATATCCCAAATCTATGGGACGGAGTCAGAGCGATTGAAGAAAACCTGTTGCCGCTTCAAAACAAATCTATCATCATGAACCCAGGCGATTATTTTCGTTGTTAGTCATCATGAGATCTGAACACACTGCTGCGTAACGCAAAGTGCCAGCTGTAGCACTATGACAACTGTTGTAAACGTCTGATTTTTTATATTTCATTCTAACGCGCTGTTGATACAGCAAGTGTGAAATACCACAATTGACTCCGCAGTAGGCCGCTTTGTCGAGAAATAAACTATATATATATATATATATATATATATATATATATATATATATATATATACATATATATATATATATATATGTCTGTATCTATCGGATCATGAATGTGTCACGGCTGCGAAAATGCTACAATAGAAACATCATCCTGGAAGCCTCTGAAGCAACAAATGCTTAGCTTTAATCGCTGTTTGCAGAGAGAACTAAACATCCCCGATCCTGGTATTTCACGGTTCCCGACAATCACTTAACGAGATCAGAGGTATTTACTAAGGAGACCATGGTGTGAGGATCGTAACATTAAACACGTGCAAAAGTAAAAGCAGCTCACCGCTAGTAACGCTTTTTCCACATTGTCATGAACCAGATCTACACACTGCCGTTTCTCCCGTTGGTATAAGCATTCTTGAGCCACATGTAGTTGATTTTCCACTTCGGCGAGCAACTTCTCGGCAACTCTTTTGGCTCGAATTAAATCGTTGATCTCTTTGACCATTCTGTCCAATTCGTCGGAAAGTTCATTCTCCCAAAATACAATATCGGACAAACGATCACCAAGTTGGCGGCTGGATTCATTTTGATTATTCTTTGTGCGCACACTAGTCTCATCCACCAACCGTTTTGAGTCATGGCGCAAACACTCCGAATCCTTCTGTCCACGATCGTTGGCTTGCAACAGACGCTGATAGCTAGCAAACCAATCACGGGGTGTGTACCGTGTGTACAAAGCATTACGAGCAGCGGAGTACACAGAAGGTACGCGTATGCCACACAGTTGACTCAACTCCGTCTCCGGAGCTGAACTATCCACTTGCGAATGTGATAAAGAATATCGTGGGTTAGTCTTGGAGGCGGAGTAGTATGTGGCAGGCCGGAATCCGACAGTTGTCAACATACGTTTATGTGGATAGGGCGAAGGGCAAGTGAAAGGTGGAGTTTTGGCAAGTTTAGGTAGAGTAGCCGTGCAAGGTAATTTGGATACGGACTCCTCGCGACGTCTTGACGAAAGGTAACATGCCGTCGGGCTGTGACCAATAAATTCCATCACTCTTTTGACAGTTTGCGACCGTGAGGTCACTTAGAGTGATTTGCAGTTCAAATACTGCGTTTATCGACCAGATCAATACAGCAGTTTGTGAGTTCAAGAGACGTAAGGTTTGTGAGGGCACAGTATACGAGAACCTGGAGGCTCACGTGACATCCGAACAATGGTGCACTAAGGTTGAAGCCAGTTCGGTAAGATCATCCGGGTGGAAAGTGCAGGCTCAAAAACAAACGTTGCCAACAGGACAAACAGTGAACTCACTCGGATTGTGATCGAAGCGAATTTTACAGTGTTTAAGAAAATGGTGAACTGATCACGAAATGTCGCCAAACGCGTAGAAAGGTAATAATTGTAGAAGGCGGTTTGGAGTAAGCATGTGCCAATCAAAGTCATGGCGACATTTTACATGAACAAAGCCCGAGGGTGCAAGATCCGAAGCTCAAATCAATTCGCATCAGGTGCTTCCGAAAGGTAAAGGAGATGTTAATCCGTACCCAAAAATATATCGTAGCTGTAATTGTGGTTTGGTGAGACAGAGGAACCACGGAGTATAAATGAAGGCCAATCATCGTATGAACACCGCCCTCGCGATCGGGCTGCGAAATTTATTGAACCCACTGCAAGTGAAATGGGATTCCCCAGCTCATGTGAACCCTTTGGCCCCGGCCAGTCACCGATCATATGTGAAATATTGATGTTCCACACACTTACATGGTGACTACACCCAAGTAGTAACCTGACGACCGCTTTCTTGCCTCATGTCGTCTAATTCACCCTAAGCGGATGTCATACCTATCCGGACTATTCAGACGGAGGTACAACATGCTGCTTGTCAATTCTTTGACCAAAACAGTATTGCGTGCGTTGAATGCCTTGCTGTTTAATTTGAACTTTTGCCAGTGAAGTAGGTGTGTTCGGAGGACCTATATCGCAGAACTCAATTCTTGGTGAGCCAGCAACGACCGAGATAAGTGAACAGTAGACGGTCACTTAGTTTGGGTTAACTTGAGATACTACATAATTGGACCTTGTTGATTATTCGAAAAGAAGGGGGCTGTAGATAAATGGGATCCATGTCGATACGCCCTTAGAGCCTAAAAGTAACAAGTTTATCTTGTACTCTGACAGCTCAGGTTCGAGCTTGCGCGGGGGCAGGGTGACCCTCGCGGTATCTTTAGCCCAGCTGCGAACGGTGGTGGTTGCGCGGCAGCCAAACGTCGGTACTGCGTACCGCCGATGTCTATTTTTCCTTTTCAAAGAGCAAGTGATGCAATCCGGTAGCCAGAGAGTAACTGCACCGCTCTTAGTGGTTGTACGGCTAGCCACACTGCCACAAATCCCTTCCCACTGTGTCTATTCTCTTCGCCACGCCGCTAAGTGTACACGTGAATGGGTTTCCCAGTGGTTGAACAAGAGGTGGGAAATGCGCTGAGAGCGCAAGTTATGTATTTCGATTATCATGCACCTAACTTACTTGAGAATTATGCCGTTACGAGTCTTGTCGCTCGTAATCTTGTTGTCACGCATTTTAAGTAACAGCATGTCCATCGATCCACTGTCGAAAACCATCCCAAAGAGAATGAATGAAAGTCCAGTGCAGACTGAGTGGTTGTTTTTTTAATTCTGCACCGCCATAGACCAGCTGCGCAGCAATGGCCATTCAAGTCTTTCCAAATCTTCGCCACCTCTTTTCTAACGTAACCCTCTATTCTCTCTTGCAATTATCACCTGGTGATCGAGAAAAGCGTCATAGTTGAGCGTCTGTTGTAAATTCCAAAGCAAACTAGGCAGGGTAGATTTGTTCGGAGCGGACGTCAACGCGAGCAAACTGCGTCTCGCAACATTTTATTTGCCATTTTACTCCGTGGTGTTTCTTCGTACGAGACATTATACATGGTAACCAATGACGATCGAGCAAGGCTCCCCTAGCTTTCGAACTTCCAAAGCATTTTTCACCCGTACTCCTCGTTCCCTTTGGCATCTATATGTAACACAAGTGAAACCGCACTGATCCGCTCAAACTAGACGTTATTTTTAGTGCCGGTTTCATTCCCTTTTCTATCTCCATGTGTCAGCGTACGCCGTAACGGCGCTTCGCTGCCATGCGACCACCACAACGCGGACTAGGTATACCGCCAGGACACCTATCCCTACCCGGATTCGACCCCACGCCGCAAGATTAGGAGACAATCTCGTTACCTCTAGTCTACGGGCTACGTGTTCACGACCAACCAATCGGTAAAACCATTACTGCGTCTATCTATAACAAAGCTAATTGTTTATGTACGCTTGTGCCAGTTAACACTTGCTCTTGTCGTGCTGCTGAATACACGTGTTCTTGCTCCGTACATTCGGTGGTCTTCAGCTCATCGGAGCATCGTTGTCGTATATGCGCTTACAATTCGGTCATTGAGCTTTGCTTGCTATTCGCTTTACAGTCCGGAACCTTCGTCTGTACCTCGAACCTGCTCTAAGGAACCTATTACACATACTCCTCATAGTTGACGCGGCCTACCCTGGAAACCGTCAGTCCCACCTTCCCCCCCCCCCAATCTGCCTATGATTAAACTGGTTATAACAAAGATCAAGGCACGTCACGCCCCTATCCACTGGTTTAGCGGCTATGCCAGCTGGACATCACACGTGGAACCCAAGCACGACGGTCACACTGTAACTCACTAGAATTTTAGGAACAAGTTATCCATTCACTTTACTGGGAATCACCAAGCCTTACATTTTGCGTAACGTTTATCTCTATAAATGGCTATAACCTGAGATACCCGAGTACCTGCGTGTGCCTTCCAAGCCCATTTTTCCAGGGGACCAGTAAAATGCATAGCCCAACTGGCAACAGACTGCACAGGTTTGTACAAATGTAACTACTTCGTATAACTCTCGATAAAAATGAGCCGTTTTTACGCACACTACGTATCTCGCTAGTGCTCTCCAACAGTCTCATCGTGGTTCTCACGATTATTCCCATTACTCCAACACCCACAGGGGAGCAACGCGAGACGCTCCACCCTCATGGTAACAGTAAAGAAGAACTTCATGAACAGAAGCGCAGATTCAAACTGGCGACCAGTGGATTACGCGCAGAGAACTCCGACTACGTGGTGTGCATGCATTCAAATATCTAAACGAAGTGAGCTCCTCTGATAATCCTTTTGTCAACCGCCGTTATGCGCATTTTGCTATTGCAGATGAATGCTCTGTTACGACCACTCCACTGATCTCAAACTGTATCTCGCAAGAAGTAGAAATACATCGTTTTCCATATTACTATTGTTGTCCGTATCTCGTGCAACTGTTCCTAATTCACGCTATCGTGGCAATGAGAACTAAGACAACTGGATCCACCACATGTGTGCTAAACTGAAAAAAGTCTGCAGCACATCCAACTAGGAAAAACAACAAGTTAGTGGTTCTGTTCCATTCATTCATACCACACAGTCAGACGGAAGTTGACAATGAGATCAGTGAAGTAAGACAGCATATGTGGACGCAGGCGAGTATTGAATAATGGGCAAAGTGAGCCAAGTGTTGGATTAATGAGTGGGTGGCAGACAGATGTTGAGAACAAAGCTGCGGAAGATAGCGGAACAAGGAATCTGGTAGTGAGAGTTGTCGGTCGTTGTCCCAGGAACATTCATATCAGCACAGAACATAGTTATTAGAAACAGACGAGACGAAATCAATTATGGCGCATTCCTGCCGGATACCCAACACGATCTGAGATCAGTGAAACAGCACGCGATCATGCCTGAATTGGTGTGCCTCGATGAATTCGAGAAGAAAATAATTATTTATTTATTTATAAGGACATTCTCGGCGGCGAAAGAAGAGAATTGCTTAATATAAGTTGCAACGCCGGATCAGAAGGTAAAAATACGCTTAGGTGTGCAAACAGAACCATGAGGTTGTGATGAAAGAAAGTAGTTCTGGTAAGAAGTTAATCAGGATAGTTCATGGGATCAATGTCGATCGTAAAAGCGATACCAGATAGAATATTCTACCGATTAACTGAAAGCACTTACCAACGTCAACCAAATCAATGGTTTGAACGAAAGAGCATCGAGAGCGTAACAGATATGGAAAAGGTAACTATATAGGCGAGAGCAAATCAGCCATTTATTTGATACGGGGACAAGAATGTCGCCACAGATACATCTCGATAATATCCCGACCATCAACAATCGCTGCCTGTTAACTGTAGCTGCGATTTCTCTATTTAAATGTTTGGTGGTTGAACAAAAGTGCAAAACAGTAGCAGCGTATATTTGATCGATACGAACCTATAATGGAGACTGGGAAACTGCAGGATATACACAGAGGAAGATTAAAATCCATAAAGTAGGGTGGGGAGGCATCGAATATTAGACTACATGTTTCGCGGAGTTGGAGAGAGCACGTGACACGCGAGTGCTGAATGCGAAGAACTGGGGGTTAGAGAGAAGAACAAAGTTGTGTTATATAGACTACCCATAATCTGTCAGTAACTGATGATAAAAAAGATATTCTCATAAGTAGAGATTTTTGATGAAATTAGTTAAGTTCATCTCCGCAGCTTCCAAATCAGATGATTCACCATATGACTGGAAAAGCGCTAGACTGCCATTTCGCTCGGTTGAACTTCATCAGTAGTGCGTATCCATCGGATCCTTCAGGATTCCAACACGTGACCACCAACGGCTTGCGCCTACATTCAGCAGCACATGCTATGGCATATGGAGGACTATCTGATTTGAAAACTGCTGCGACGAACGCCCAATTAAAAAAGAGTAATAGTTCCAGGGAATTATAATGACTCGGATCCATCAATGCGAGGCAAGTTGAAGCTATTAATACTTGTCGCAATAGGCTGATTTAGAACGCGTCGCAATGCCTCGGTCATCACTTACGGCGCATGCATGAACGTGACACCTGGGTGGTGGGCCGCCAGTGTGGATGGCCACAAATCACGATATGAGAGCAACGTATTAAGATGGGATTGAAATTCACTCATGAAGTGATGAATTTCGATGATACCACGAGCTCCAGTGAACAAGTAAAAGAATATTGATGCATTAGCTAAATCCGGGAGACGAAAATGAGAAAAAATGAGTAGCCACCGAAAGTCGCGCTGAAAAGGAGCACCTTTTAAACACTGATTGCGGTCTAGGATGAAGAGTTAGGAAGAGCTTTAAAAGAAATGCTGCCCTGTTCCTGTTACCTAGTAGCTAAATGCATGTGCTAAAAGCACTGCATGAGGACCTTAGGCGTTCTTCTGTCTAGGTTCGGATGCTGTAGTAGCATTCTAGTAAAACACACTCGTTCCACATCGATTGTCACTTAATTTTGAAAAGATTGCCTGATCTGATGTGCATGGAGAAGTAGATATGTGAAACCAGGCAAATACAGACGTCTCTCATATCTGTGACACCGATTGTTACTACTCAACACAATCCCTCATACTCGTATTTGTCCCGGCTGTTCAAGTGGAAACAACAGCGGATGCATGTCTACTGGAGTCTTGCCTTTTCAACCATAGGACCGTAGTACCCAATACCCTTCTGTTAGAGTCAACACCACCAGGCTTCTTCGGCTGTATTCAACGTTTGTAACTCGAGAGAGATAGGTGGGCATTTCGCAACAGTAAACAAACTGGATTTCGGCGGGTGCGCCGGTCACTGAACAAGCTGTCCCAGTTTATCCTGTTTACGTAGCGAATACAAATCAATTTAAAGCGAGCATCAACTTTAGATACTGAGTGGAATTCTCATTACGTAGTCGGATTCTCGGATCAACTGCAAATGTGTGGCCGGTCTGGTGCTGTCGACCAAGGGAAAATCCAGACATTGTCTGTCATTGGTCGCCATCCTATTTTAAATTACCACAGTCCTGGTGTTGTCAAGTACGTCTTCTATCAAGTAGATAACACGCTGCTTCGTGGTGGCATTAGCTCACGTATAGCTGTAGGAGATATGAGCGTTCAAGTAGACCGCCGAAGGCCTATGGTAGGTCGAGCAGGTGGAACGATCGGGATAAGATAATTGTGCAGGAACAGTAGTGAGTATTTAATGAAACTATGAAACAATGGCTGGCTGTTTCGAATCACCACTGTGCCGGCAGAAGTATGCGGAAAACTGCGTGGTGGTAGATACAAATAGAGCACATCAATACAAGCCTCAGAAAGTTGCGCCCCACTCTTCACTGCACGGTTTTGGAATATATGCACCGATTTGATTATGCGATGCAGCACTTCCGTGTCTGCAAATCTGTCGCTACAACCGATGCATAGAAGCCGTCGCAAATACTGATGATGAAAACGCTTCATCCATCTGACATTCTTCGTAATTCAGGTTCCGCTACCGCATAGAATAACGGACAAGAATATAGACCTGTAAACCATCAGCGTCGTTCCAACGGTAATGCTGTGATTACTGCACACATATTTCTCCAGTTTACCAAACGCAGCAGGCGTCTTGGTTACGCGGACGAGCAACCAGTTCACCAAATGTAGGGTGGTCGAAAGTACGCTAGCCAGGTAGCAAAATTAAAGTGCGATCCAACACAAACACTGAAATGGAATCGCTGCAAACATACGGATCCCAATCCCGCTGTAAGCTTAAAATGACCAAGAGTCTAGCTTGTGTTGATGGTGAACCCGAATTTAGCCGCTGTCGAAGCGAGAGCCGAAGTCTTGTGCTGAAACTCATCCGCATTGTGCGCAAACAACGCACAGTCGTCCGCAAAGAGCAACATGCGGATGGTTGTCTCACACAGGCTTTCGCTCGAAAACAACGGAGGATCAGCAACTTATCATCAATACCGTGCTGCACACGCACACCGTAATCCCAAGCAGCATCAGAAGTACAGATTATGATTAGATGGTAAATATTAAAAAGGAAGGAGCTAACACATAGACCCGCTTCACACCAGAGAAAACAGTAAAGTTATCCGAAATTTGTCCACACAGCTGCATCCTCGCTTGCATAAAAACGTGCAGACATTCAGTTAGACTTACAAACTTACACGGACAACCATACTTACCAACAACAGCCACAGTGCCTCGCGCGTCACCGCACCATGGTTGGCCGCATCCGGTTTCGGCTTTGCCTGTCACTGTGCCCAACCACAGGACGTTTGCGCCTACAGAGGGATCATGGGCCGCTTGCGCTACATTACCACAGCTCCAACCACACACCCCATATCCAGTGTAAACCAGAAGGAATAAGACAGGGAGGCATGCGGATTGGAGCCACGTTTCATCAACGGAGCTGGTCCACACTCCTACAAAGACAAACATAAGCACGTGGCATCTGGGGAATCAATCGCACACAACGCGGCGGCTGGACCGTAGTCCGCTCCACACACAAGCCAGGTGCATAGAACCACACTTCGAGCCTGGCACGACCACAAGGACCGTGCACCCTGTCCACTCCAGCAACAATCAACTGTTTCCTAGAGCCAGAATGAATGAGGTAATGGGTATTAGACAGGTAGGCACCTTGTCAACATGCATATCAAGCGCAGCCACATCGGGGATACCAAGCAACAGCCAATCAGCTGAAACGACAATATCAAATAAAATAAATCGAAGAATGCATACAGATACGGTGACATAACTCATTACTAAATGAGCGTATGAAATAATTTGGTTGCAAAATATCCGCGAAAGGTTCAAGATGTAGGTAAATATATTCTAAGAAAATGCCACAAACGCGAAAATGTTAGCGAAATTAACTACAATTAGCTTAAGCGACATGTGCAAGTTTATAGAAGATAGTTCAGGTAAACATTAGGATGAGACAAAAAAGTATAAGGACAATATAGCAATCCCACTACCTGAAATAAAGGAGTCAGCATGCAAGCACACAGTTAGTAAATCGAATGCAGCGTACCTACAAACGCTGAGCCGGTTCTGCCTACCTTTTCTGCAGGACCCGTCATCGCTTCGATGTTGGTCCCGAGTGGCCTCCCACGTTGCTCACTAGATCTGCCTGACTCAGGCACTAGCGACCGCATGTGCTACAGCACCACGCGCTCCATGTCGATGGAGTACAACCCACGGATACTTGTCGCTTCCTCACTTGCCGCTTCTTTTCTGTATGCATGAAATCTTTCTCCCGCACCTCGGCAACTGCCTACGTGATCAGATCGCGCCAAACACGCCGATCAACCGCCTTCGATTCCCATGACCTGAAATCAAGATTAGAACGTGACAGTCTCACTTTCATCATATCCTGGTAACGTAACTTTGGTTTCCCCACAGGCCGCTTCCCAATACTCAGTTGACCATAATAGCTGTTTCGGTATCCGCGTCGAATCCATACGACTCACATGACCGAGTCACCTCAGGTGACTCAACAAAAGTATGCAGTCCACTGCATACATACCACTTCGACGCAACACTTCCGTGTCAGCAACTGTGTTGCTCTATCAGATGCGCAGAATCCGTCGCAAACACTGTTGATGGAACCTCTCGAGATATCGCACATCCCGTCGGTGCATCGTCCACGTTTCGTTGCCGTATAGAAGAACGGACAGTACCATGGATTTGTATATATATATATATATATATATATATATATATATATATATATATATATATAGGACCAGGTGACTACTGTGACCGGCGGATTAGTGTCGGGGAAGAATGCAGCGTTCGCTGCATATGTGGCGCACCTTGATAACTGTGAGAAGGAGGGTCAGTCTCGTGAACTTCCATGACAAGTTACTCAACAGCTTCGTCGTATCAATAATGCATGGTGGACGGAGAACCAGATAGTCTTATGCCGAACGCTGCCAAGATAAGGAACTCTTTGACTCCTTGAAGGCGGCAATTGGCCCCATATTGCAGCCAATGAAGACGCTGCTCGATGCTACTTCAGGCGCTGCCATGCATTTGTGGTGCGATGAAACTGCAGAGTCCCTTGCCATCGAAGTTTGCAAAACTAAACCTCCTCGCAGTTATCCGAGTGCGCCAAATGTGCAGTGAACGCTACATTCTCAGCCGACACAAATGCGGCAATGGTCACTGTTTGATACGGTGAACCGCGAGGTATTGTGCCCGGTGTTGGGAAAGTTTGGTTGTCCGAGTAAGTTTGTAAACCTAACTGAATGCGCACTGGTATGCAAGCGAGGGTGCAGCTGTGTGGACAAACTTTACTGTTGTCTCTGGTGTGAAGCAAGGCTGTGTCTTAGCTCCTGACCTGTGTATTATTTACCTTCATGCAATGATGTCTCGTGCTTTTGACGCCGATGTGATTACGGTGTCCGTGTGGAGCATCGTATTGATGGTGGGTTGCTGAACATCCGTCGTTTCGGTGCGAGAGCCCTAGTCTGTGAGACAGCTATCCGTATGGTGCTGTTTGCTGACGACTGTGCGTTGTTTGCGCACAATCCGGATGAATTGCAGCACATGACTAGTGCTCTGGCTTCGACAGTTGCCAAATTCAGACACACCATCGACACAAGCAAGACTGTCTTCTGGAACCTAAACTAAGAAAGGAGTCGGTGGGTCTACTCCAAATCCAGGTTGAGAGCGTAATATCAACCGACCTGCAGATGATGAGCGAGCTGCGCTTCCGCGTAACGAAGGCGTTTGCTGCGTTCGGTTAACTGGAGAAACAAGTGCGGGACAATCACAACCTTACCGTTGGAACGAAGCTAATGGTATACAGATCTATGGTGCTGCCCATTCTGCTATACGGTAGCGAAACCTGAACGACGAATCAAAGAATGTCAGATAGGTCTGCGACGGATTCTATGCATTGGCTGTTGCGACAGAGTTGCAGACATGAAAGCGTTGCGCTGCAGTGGTATGCATGCAGTGGAATTCATACTTCTGCTGAGGCATCCGAGGTGGCTGTGGCACATCAGCCGCGTGGATTCGACGATACTCAAACAGCTTCCTTATGGCCAACTTAGTGCAGGGAAGTGGTACGTGAAAAAAAACAAATTTACGTTGCCAGGAAATGATCCAGATTAGTTTATCACGAACTAATGTTGATTTCAAGTGTTAGGAGTCGATGGTAGTGGATCGTTGCGGATGGCAAGAGCATATCAAGAGAGCGGTTGTCCAGGTGCATAAGAAATCACTGCCGAATACGGATAGGAAACGCTGGGTACGGATGCGACGGGTGCCGATGGTGGATAGCTCGTGGAGGTCGAGCCCATGGTGCTGTAGCAAATGCAGTCGTGAGTGCCTGAGCCAAGCGCGTCCGGTAAGCCATCAGTTGCCATGTTGGGCACGCATCCAAAATACGACGAATCAACTCATGACCTAATAAGCATCAGCGTAGTGTTTGTAAGTACGCTGCGTCTGCTTCCGTTTGATTTACTAACCCAGGCCAATGAAGCGGTTCATGTGGTAGGTGTGCTACATCATCGTGGCAATTGGTCTGTACATGTATGTCTGCGTGTTAAGTTGCTTGCATCTCAGGTGTTGGCTGTTGATTGATATCCCCAGTGTTGCTACGCTTGACGTTATGCTACTCATCACCTCATCTAAACTCGCTCAGGGAGAATGTGAAACGATGCTGGGGGGGACGAGATGCACCGTCATTATGACCGTGCTAGGCTCAAAGAGTGGTTCCAGACATCGAGCGTGGAGCGGACTACGGCCCAGAAACCGCCTTGTGCACGTCTGATACGCATGATTCCTTACCCAGATAGACAGGAATGCTGCTGCTGTGCATGTTGAAATATTGTGGTTCGGTTCCGTTGATGAATTGTGGCTCCCATCCGCATGCCTCATGGTCGTATTCCTTCGGGATTACACTGGAAATGGAGTGTGTGAATGGAGTTGTGGGTAGTGCAGTGTAAGTCATCCATGGTCTCTGTGTAGACGTAGCCATCTAGTGGTTGTCTGACGGAGGTCGCAGTGACAGGCAAATCCGGAACCGGATGCCGCCAAAAATACATACACCTCATCAGGGTCCCAAAAACGCTTAAAACCGGAAGGCCAATTTGTCGTGCTATCGCTGAATTGTGGACTGCGAGTCCCGGTTACGATTAGGAAGCTTGAGGACAGGCCATTCACAGAATGCGGAAGCTTGAGCGCAATTCGTGCCCACTATAGCGTGAGAACGGAGTCTGTGAGCAGAATTCGGACTGACTAACACTTGCAGGTGATAACAATGTAGCCAATTTGAGTCTAAGTTTTCGCGGAATTCATTAGACATCAGGTAACGCAAGGCGAACGTTTGTGTCGAAAAGAGTGCTGCCGATATAAAGATTGGAATCAACCCAGAGATCAACCCAGGAATCAACCCAAAGATAAGGACCGCCATTATCTTTTCGATGTTCATCAACTTCGAAATGACCGCAAAAGCGTTGTTCGGGATGCGAAAAGCGATATACATTGGACATTCATGCCACCAGCAACAATTCCCACATGAGGACTCCTTGCTATACGGATGAGAAATAAGATTTATCGATGGAATTCATGTTTTGTACCTTTTGAGCTTCAGATGGTTGGAGTACACGTTAGAACGGTAATATGGTAACGTATGAAGACCATGTTTAATAACTCCTAAGGAGGACAAAAGTGGAACCGTTCCCAAGAGCTTGTCAACGAGTGGCCAATGAGGTAGATTGTAGCCAGTATACTTACTGAAAGCTGTACCGAGCCAACGACTCAGTATCGACAGGGAAGCAAAGAGTGCAACCATTTTCGGCAGATTCAAAACAAGATAAACAAAGACTGGTTAAGATGTGGTTATCTAGTACGTTTGTTTCGGAGAAACAGCATATAACAATCCAAAAGCAGTGTGTAGCGAGAGTAAGCGCTAACCGTTGACCCATCAGCTTTAGTGTTGATATTAAAGAAACCAATAGATGAGTTCCTTAGTCTAAAGGACGGACGAGGTACATCGCGAGTATTATGTGTGAAGTCAGCATTGGTCTATTGTTCACTAAACGGAGGAGCGGGATGTAGGGTGAGAGAAAAACAGCAAGAAATAGTAATGGGAACAGAGTCCAGATGGTTGATGATACTCGCCAAGCGCCCGGTACGATAAGGAGATTTTGCTCGAGGCGCCCTACTACCAGATCTGTGACTACAGTCTGACCCGTGAGGCAGTGCAGATGAAATACGGCCTGGAAGCATGAATGCAGAGTCGAAATGGAATTGCCTTGAGGTCGCTTACAGGAAACTTTAAAAAGAATCCGAAATAGTCACCTATGTTTTACAACTGCAGCAGAGCAAGTACATGCGGCCAAGGCCAAAAGTAGGATGGACTTAGGACGTTCGCGCTACACTGATCAGTTGTCTGGATTGAGGGGGACAGCGAATCATGCAACATCGAGTGATACTCACTCATCGTCCGAGACAATATGTGGCACTGGTGTTCTGGGCCAATCGAGCTGTCACCTGTTCTCTCCCATGGCGAAGGGGGGAAGGGGACTCTGAGTTAATCGGACTCCGGACCTGTCGGACGCGTGTCTTTGGTAATCGGTGCAACCTGGCGAAGCTCAATGAATCATGGAACCGCGCAAATCATCACACAGTATAAAGGTATAGCCTCATCAAGAAGAACGAAGGAGTGCATAATTCGTTTTCGGAATATGAAACTTGACAATTACACACCTTGTCCCATAACAGCGGGGAATGCGGAATTCGACTTGTGAAAAGAGTGACTTACTCGGACTGAGCTGCGGTACGGTAGGCGACAACTAAGGTCGCAACTCTTTCGGCAATCCGATTGAACCAAAGTGGCGTCGTAGTTTCTCCAACATATTATCCTCCTTCCGTGCAAGTTTATCTGCGGCTTCAGCAGCGCGAGCTGCCTCTGCGGAGTGACGAACACCCGACCCAACTGGTCCATTTCTCCGTTCCCACAGCATACGATGCTTCTGCTTCATGAAGACGTCAATAACAGTTGTGTTCCATGCTAGATCGCCATCTGGGTATGCAAAAGTGGAACAGTTTCAAGTAAACAGTTAGTGGTAATACAGTGTTCGAAAGGGATTAACATAGGACAGGGAACGTACGGGCGCAATGATGTGGGCAACTGACCGCTTATGCATAACGGCTTAACCTTAGGCTGTGTAGACAACAAGGGATTAAATAGAAAGTAAAGTATCATTGAAGGTATGATAGTTAAAGAAGGAGAAAAAGCGCGAGTTTCTGAAGTAAGTAAACATCAGCCCAAAACACGGTGTCTCCTGTCCTGACCGGACGGAAGGTCAAGGAGACGGGGGAGGGGGAACGGAGCTCACATAACATTTACTTCCTATGTAAAGAAGGGAATTGTTTCGTGAAACCACAATAAGCGTCTGTCTGATTTTGCACAAGACATTCAATGAACGGAAGAATATGATGAAAAGCGGTAATCGTCCAGTCATGTAAAATAAAACTATTTCGAGGTAAAATGTATATAAGAAACGTTTTTCCGATCCCCAGAAGGTAGAGTTACAAGTGTTGAGTTGCCTGGGTGCTTCAAATGTGCTGGTACCTTGCTATTGGCTTTATAGACACATGTAATAAAACAAGTAAGTAGAGAACTTCAAATCAAAAATGTACCGTAATTGACAGAATCCGTCTCACCAAAGGTTGTGGACGGCGATGTTCCAAAAACGGGCACTACTGCGCCAATAATAAGTAGTATCGAAGTAACAGGAAAACTAACTAAGAGCAAGAGAAGTACGATTAGAAGCCACAGACGTATGTGCACCCAAGTTGGGTACAGAAGGAGCACGAGCTACGCAGTCTCCAGGAGAAAGTGCACAGATTGGTGGAACTCTCCGATTGCACCCTGAGTTCGTGCAAGGTGAAAAAGTACGTACCTAGCACACGACATATCGTTCCGTTTGGGCCAGGTGACGCGATGCAAACGCTTGTGATTCTATTACAGAGATCGAAGACGAAATGCGATAACGAGGTGGTGAGCAGTGTCAGTACGATATGCCTGGATACGGAATGAGCTTCGAGAAGCTCTCATTCCGATGTGCAGCCCAGGTGAACATCTACGTCAACAGAACTAATTAAAACAGAATATTTAGTCATCTGAATGGGGGATGATAAGTCATCAAAGAAGAGCTCCCAGCGAAAATCAAGCCAGAACGGCAGTGATGCCCTCTATCACTGCTTAGCAAGCCGAATGACCACTTGAATCAAGTAATACGCATATCGCTATTCACTGGGAATCATTAGAGGAGGATATACTCTGCAGTCCACTGAAAGTAAATCTAATACGATAAAAGCTTTAAAATGCTTCTGCCTGAAGTAGGTCGCAAGCCACCGTGGACAATTTGGGAAAAGTTGTGTACGGATGTCAGTCGTATCATACGACACGCTTGTGACAGTATTCAAGAGCATGAATATTGGCCGGTTCCCATGTCATTTCGAATGGCTGGTAGAAAAGAGGAGACTTGCAGTACCAGTTTGATAGCTGCAGATAGAGCAAGTACCTGGCAAGGATGACATAGATAGAGCTCCTGTGAACGCGGTTTGTTTTTTTGCTTCTCTGATTGCTATAATAATACGAGATGGCACAGAAACACCCTTCAGATTGATTTTAAAAAATTACTCCGTGTACCTCCACAGATCGGCATATGACACATGGGATCTGGTCATGGTGATTTTAGGGTTGTGGGATTTCTATGATACTCAATTTAACGATAAACGACGCTGAACACGGGATTAGTGGTAACATTTCGGAGATTGGTTATGCTCTCCCAGCGCTACCTCATTCAAAATCCTTCCAACATCTAGCTAGGAAGGAATTGAGAAAGAATTATCTAGTATCTAAACACTGATGCATCTGAATAGATCATCAGATTCATTGTATACATATCGTTAAACCAAGTTGGAAACAGTGGCTACACACGTGTGCTTCGCACCTTCAAAGTGACGTGTTGTAGGGTTAGGCTAACACTCCATTGCTTGTTGCTACCATCCCCCACACACACACACAGCCACTGCGACTAGTCGGACAATTCACTCGCATTTGTGCCTGTCACCTGTGATGGGGTCACAATGCTGAAGGAGGCTAATTCGTGTCAGGCCAGACTCCATCATCTATGCAGGTAGCGGGATACCCGCCTGTTAGTCAAAAGTAAAGTCCTGCGATAAGATCGGTGTTACTGTATGGAACAGAGGCCTTGCGAATTCGCGTTATTAAACACAAGTGCCTGCGGAGTATTGCTCACTAATAGTGAGGAATGTTGGTTAGAATCGTTTGCCGGGAAATGCTTCCCTTCTCGTCAAATAGTTTGAAACCCTCGAACACCTCAGAGAAATGTCTGTTAAATTTGAACCGCCTTCGTTAGTTAAGTCATGTCCACCTGCGCTATTCAGTGTACCTAGTCGAGTGAAACCGTGAGGTGGCCAGTCAATGAGGTGGCACAAAGGTATGAAGAAAGAGACCGCAAGACTTGATGTGGTTGGTACGTGCTGTCTTCGTGGATGGAAGCCACGGGATCGGCCGCGTCAGTGGTTGGGGACTAAATAGAACATAGTGCAGACGCGCAGTCAGTGGCGCTCCTGCACTTGCTGTATCCAACTGCCAATATTTCGCCCCGCTCAATTTTACTGACTTTCCGAAGTCTCCGTGATTTCTATGATATTTGCTTTCTATCCAATTTTATCATCACTGTTTACTTATATGGTTGGCAGCATGTCATCAGTTTGTGCCATTAGGCTTTCAAACTGCACCTCTAAAACCGCCTAATCTATTTTCTTACCTTGAATGTAAAAGTTTGGACCTAATGATAACACGTCTAGCCATGTCGGACTTTGTATCACACAAAGATTAAGCACATACCATTCTGGCTTACTCGGAAATGCTAACTGCATGAAATGGCTATTTAAACGTATTAAGTAACTACTTCGTTTCCTTGCTCCCATTTTTAGTTTAACCGATTCCACATATTCCTCGAAAGTCTGTTCTTAGCAAATCCGAAGGGCCTGCAGTACATTTGCTGTAAGTGTAAAATGACGCACATGATGATCTACGCTTTGAATTCGGAAACGGAATAACTTTCCTGGATATAGAAGTTATCCGTAACTCAAACGAATTATGCAGCAGGAATTAACACAGAATACAAGTACTAGGCAGTACACTAACTTTCACACCGCAATACCTTTACAGCATAAGAGGAGTTTAATCCGATCTCTCGCCTGCAGAGCGCGTAGTAATTGCACTCTAGATACCGTCAAGGAAGAACTACAGAGAATCAGCGACCCCCTTGGGGAAAGTGGTTATTCTGATAAAGTTACCATGATGCATTTGAAGGAAGAGAACAGAAACCACCTAGGAGCATTGCTCCCAAGAAAGTGCTTTGCATACATTTACCATTTAAGGGCGATTCTGCAGATATCATATCATGTCGACACCTGTAAGATGCTTCTGTGAAAACTTATTTCGCGACCTGCGAAACCTTTGAAAGGTAGACTGCCCTCGTTGAGCCGTTATGTGCTCGTTTATCAGTACGCGTGCTTCTGTAGTGCATGATACGTGGGTCGCACTTCGAGACGCCTACCGTAGAGGATTCGTGAGCACATCCCGGTATGGTTTCACACGGTCGAAAGAGATCCTCAAACGGGTCAATCATGTCCCACCTCCTTGACTGTAACCATACAGATTCGGAGAATGACTTCAAAGTCACCGACACGCTGCCGGAATGCTTCTCGCAAGGATTTCGCATACAGCTCTTGTCCAATGCCGAGGCTATCTACCTCCACCATATGAAGCCTGGATTATGTGTGCAAAAACAATCTATACGGCCGATACTATTCAAGACACTATTAATTAGTTATTTGGTTGTTACCATATCCATCTACTTCGGACTATTGAGGTTTTTATATTCATATCCGTTTAATACACATGGTTTACCATCTATAGTCCTGTCTTAGGCCATAGATTTTGAAAGTTAAAACAGCCTACAAGTTAACCACAGCCAGATTTGGCGCCTTCCACACATAACCAGTCCTAGGTAAGCCTTTGGATCTGAACAGACTTAAGCGAAAAGAATTCTTTGTCCTAAACTCGTAACAGCTTGATCCATATTTAAGAAATAGAAAAATTTGATTGCTGAAGACCAGCATTCGAAGTGAATCATTGAATATATGGTTGGAAGCATCCGGTTTCGGGTTTGTCTGTCACTGGCAAGCCACAGGACGCCTGCAGATGGATCATGGGTGTTTTGCACTGCACCACCCAGAGTTACATCCACATACCCCATATCCAATGTAAACCCGAAGGAATGAGATCGGGAGGCAGGTGGATGGGAGCCACGTTTCATCAACGGAGCTGGCCCATACTTTTTCACAGGCAAACACAAACACGCTGTAGTTGGGAATCAATCGCACATAAAAGCTGTGGCTGGACCGTAATCCGCTCCACACTGTGCATAGAACCACTCTTCGAGCCTAGCATGGCCAAGAGGAGCGTACACCCCGTCACCTCCAGTAACGGCCAACTGTATCCTAGAGCCGTTAAGGAAGAGGTAGTGGGTAATAGACAGGTAGGCACCTTGTCAATATGCACATCAAGCACAGCCACAACTTGGATGTCAAACAACAGCCAATCACTCGAAACGACAAGACGAAAGAAAATAAATCGAGTAAGGCATACAGATACCGCGGCACAACTTTTTACGAAATATGCGTATAAAAAATTGATTACGTAGGAATCCACGATAAGTTCAAGAGGTCAGAAAACATATTTAAAGGAAATGCCACAAACGCGAAAATGTTATCGAAATTATTTACAATTACCTTAAGCGACGTGTGCACGTGTATACAATATAGTACAGGTAGATATAAATAGGAGATAAAAAAGCATAAGGAACATATACAAAACAAATTGAAATGAAGAGACTCAGCTTGCAAGCACGCGGTTAGTAAATCGAATGCAGCGTACCTACAAACGCTGCGCCGGTCGTGCCTACGTTCACTGCA